TCAGCAGGGACCGGGGCTGTCTGGCAAGGGCCCCCCTGCAGTGCTGCAAGCCCCAAAGCAGAGGCCTGGTCAGGCCCAATGACCGGGGGAGGGGCAAAGAGGGGCAACTGCCCCAGGGCCCAGCGCTTCTAAGGGACCCAGGGCGGAGGCTGCCCCTACTGAGGCAGCGGTGACACCGGAGCCTTCGCCCCTTTCAATGACACTGAGCCCTGCGCAGCGCGCTCCGGGCACCTCTAAGGGCTGTGGGGCACGGGCCGCCTCCGGCCCTGCCCCTTCCAGCTGGGCCCCCCCACAGAGCTGGCCTCCCCGACCTCGCCCAGGTGCCCGGCCTGGCTGCTGGCTCCCCTGGGCCTGGCACTGCCCTAGGACCTGAGAGGACCCTGACTAGACACAGCCGGAGGGTAACCCCCCCGGGTCACTGCCCTAGGCGGGGGACGGGCAGAACGAAGCAGCTGTAATAAATGACGGGGAAGCGAATGTGACAGCTGAACCTAGACGAATACCAGGCGGGAGTAGGAAGAGGCGCCTCTTTCCTTTTCAGCCCCCCTCCCCGGCCTGCACGGTGAGGGGTAACATCCTCCCTCGGCCCGACCCCTGGGGGGAGAGGGGCTTTCAGACCACGCCGCGCTCATCTCCAGGGCCTGGCTGCGAACAAACCCCTCTTGGAAATTCCGCCTTGCTGGCCTGTTTATTAAAGAGACGTCGGGTGCCCGAGTGGGAAGGCGGGAGCCGCAAAGCACCCCAGAGGCTGGAGGGGAAAACTCTGCGCTTTGCCACGGGGCTTGGACCGTCCCAGATTTAAATACACGTAAAAGCAACAAATAGCCTTGCAGCCCCTTCGGAACGTCTCGCCGCTGGAGCACCCCGTGCTTACAAGTTCTCCCAGGGCCGCTTAGCCGGCGCGGGCGGCTCAGAACAGCAACACGGCCTGGGGCAAAGAGAAGAGCTCCCAGTCTGAGTCCCTGGAGAGCCAGCCTACCCAGGGACGTCAAGACCCGTCACGCTGGCCCCAGGGAATTGCTGCTCCGCTGCCTGGTCACTGCGAAACATCCTCAATGAGAGGCGTGACAAAGTCGGAGTGCCGGACGCCCAGGGAGTGAGCCGGGGCTCTGGCCCAGTGGGCGGTCACCTTTTCAGGGCTGTGTGCCCCAGGCCCCGGGGTCTGGAGAGCGGCCCCCGGCAGGCTGTGTCGCCCCCGCATGGAGAAGGCAGGTGACCGGTGCAGGTAAGTGTTGGGATCCGTCCTGTTGTAATGGGCTGGGCCCGGCGTTTGGGACAGATCCTCAGAAAAGCCCCTGCGTTTGTCCCGCCCTGAGATGGTGACACGAGGGCGGGACGTTTGGCTGGGGACCCGGGAGCCCAGCAGCGAGGGGAGGGCATAGCTGTTGGGGGCCGGGCCGAGGTCCACCCGGCGGTACGGGGTACGAGATCCCAAGGTGAAAGCCGGCGGCCTGCGCTGGGTGACAGGTGGGGCTTGCTCTGGCCTGTACCTGCCTGGCCCGGGGGTCTGTGGCTGCGCTGAAGGAGACACGGCATTAATCACTGCAGCTGGACGCTGCCAGGAACGGGCGCTCACGCCCAGCTCTGCGCCACGGCACCCTGACTGCGCTGGCCATGGCTTGCTGCCGGTGCGGAGTCTGGGCTTTCCCAGGCCAGCATGCACTACCGCTCGGGTCTCCCGCCTGCGCGGGGGGCCACTCTGTTGCACCAGGCAAGGCCTTTTGGCTCTGCCCAGCCGTGTCCGATCCAGGGAGGGGCCAGCAGCCCTACCAGGGCAGGTGCCCCAATGAGCAGCAGAAGCCAGCCCCGTGGTGACAGCTGCTTGGAGCCCATTGCTGGCTCTGGTTGACCCTTGGAAGCAGCCTCAGCCCAGGGTGAACGGACCAGGAAGGATTCTCACCCTCCGGGGGTCCCGCTAGCGGAGTAGCTTGCCCTGAGGATGAACAGAATCCCAGGAGCTGCCAAACCAGCCCTACACTCAATTTAAAAGCAACCCCAAGAGAGGCTGATGCTACCAAACCAGCCGCACTGGGCTCCCCCCCTCCCCCCACCCAGTGGGGGCTTTTGAGGCTCTTCCACTCACCGGGGGTCTTTGATCTCGCCAGCATGGAGTAGGACGGGCCCCCGCTTCTGCCAAATCGAGTGAGTTGCGGGTCCACATAATAGCAGGGACCTGGGCTTGAATCTTTCACGTACACTGACAACAGAAGGGGAAAGCGTCAGGAGATCCGGCCACGAGGTGGCTGGGAGGCGAGGACAGCTCCTTCTGCAAGGGGTGGGTCGGATTCGTGCCTGATGTCACTTCCGCGGGGCTGTACCCGGGATGAATTTGGTCACAGGCCTTTAGGCCCCATCTTAATTTGATTGTGCATCCCTGCGAGGCCCTGTTCTGACCCCTTGCACTGGTGCAATCCGCTGATTTACACGGAGTCACTCGGGATGTACACCGACCTGAGATTAGATTCCGGGCCCGACTAGGGGTGACTGGAGTAAATAAACTGCCTGGAGTCCCACTCGTGTACACGGGCATAAACCAAGAAGGGCCCTCACGCCGGGGGAATTGCACCGGGATAACAGGCACATCTAGAGAGCTGGGCCTCTCACCACTTGCAAGCCACATGGAGCGCTTGCTAGGGCTGCAGGAAGAGTCAGGGACCGCCACACAGGAGACCGGGGTCTAGCTCTGCACCTGCTGCTCAGGATCTTAGAGAATCCGTTTCCTCCGCTGTCCCCTGGGGAGAAAGCTCCGGCCCCGTTCTTTGAGGCCAACAGCTGAGGAGTGCCCAGCCCGGCACGCGGCCACACCTCTCCTGGGCACGAGCAGTCACAGCCCCCACGCGCCAGGAGGGCGACACCTTTGCCAAGTGTCCAGACGCTGGAGAAGGCCAGCGGGGCAAGGCCTGGGCAGCAGCACAGCTACACTCTGAGTGAGTGGCAGAAGCCCCAGCAGCAGCCCTGACAGAATGGGAAGGGGACGTCGTTCGTCCGGGTCTAATTGCAACCCCTAGGTTTGATTCTGAGAAGGCTGCGCTTCTGGCCTCTCAGCTCTAGCTCCCTGGGTCGCTCTGCGGGGGCTTGCTCTGGAAAGCAAGAGCAGTCAGGTGTCCCGTGTGCCCTGCGCTCCCAACCTGGTCAGATGAGGAGACGATGCAACTTCAAAGCTGCCCCGTCCCTGCAAGCTCATGGGAACAGCAAAACTGTGCACAAGCGCAAAGCACAAAGGAGCTGCACACAAGCAGCTCTCCTAGATGCACACACACGGGCATTACACACACTGAGATGACACAAATCCACACACGGGTGATACACACCCAACACAAACCCACACATAGGCAATACGCACCAGCACAGAGAACATGAACCCATATATGGGCATTTCCCTTACACAGATACACAAAGCCACACTGGAGGGATTACGCACCCAGACAGGACACAAACCCACACTTGGAGGGTACACACTTGCACACTGGGGTACACAAACCCACACATGTGCATTACACACCCAACACAAGCACACATAGGCAATACACACCGACACAAAGAACATAAACCCATATATGGGCATTACCCATATACAGATACACAACTACACACACTAGAGGGATTGCGCACCCAGACAGGGCACAAATCCACACTTGGAGCGTACACAAACCCACACATGTGCGTTACACACCCAATACAAACCCCCACATAGGCAATACACACCTAGACAGAAACCATAAACCCATATTTGGGCATTACCCATATACAGATACACAACTACACACACTAGAGGGATTGCGCACACAGACAGGGCACAAATCCACACTTGGAGCGTACACAAACCCACACATGTGCGTTACACACCCAATACAAACCCCCACATAGGCAATACACACTGACACAGAGAACATAAACCCATATATGGGCATTACCCTTACACAGATACACAAATCCACACACTAGAGGGCTTGCGCACAAAAACCCACACTTGGAGGGCACACACACATAGCAGGGTACACAAACACAGGACCCAAACACATACTGGCAATAGATACACGTGGAAAGGAGGCGCACACACGTGGGTGTGTGGTGGGGGGGGTGCACTCCCACAGACTGGTCTTGGACTCTGTGCCTGAGAAGATGCGCTGGGGAAGGGCAGGGAGGTGTGCGGAGTGACTCTGGCTACCGGAGTGGAGGGAATTTTGTGTGAGGGGGACTGGGAAGAGTTGAGAGCGACATTGTTCTGACCCGGGTTGTA